TCTTAACTTTTATAAAGAATATCTCTTTGGATTTGAGACTTTAGTCTTTGCAACTTTACAGATCTTCTTTATGCACCAAGAGCTTGTAACACTCCAAAGAGAAAGGAAAACTTGAAATCACATCATATGACCCCTTTAATTTATTGGAAATGTCAATAACTGAAAACCAACAATCTTTCTTTTTCTTTAAAAAAAAAAACACAAATCAGGGGTTAAGGTTTATTTACATGTCCCAAAAATTGCTCATCTCATACAAAATGAACACAAAATGGAAAACATCTGATATAATATTTCGTTTGATCTCTTGATGTTGTCCTTTCAATGATAATTTGTTGAAAAAGAAGAAAAATCCCTTTTTAGGCCCTATTAACACTCTATATTTGTGTGAATTGGCAATTAATTATAATATTAATATTATATAAATATATGTAATATTTATTCTGCCCTGTTTTTTCTCTATCAGGCCAAATTCCCAGTCTTGTCAAGGCAGATATGTTTGACCCGGCTATGACTCGGTTGGTGGCTGTAAATTCCATTTACTTCAAAGGCCTTTGGAAGTCCCGTTTCCAAGCCCAGAACACCAAACCCAGAAGCTTTACTGCAGGAGACGGGAAGACATACAAAGTTCCCATGATGTCCCAACTCTCAGTCTTTAACATAGGTGAGATGGTGCGATTTTCTCCCAGGTGGCATCAGATATTACACTCACACACATTCAGAACGGTTGAGTAATAAAAGATTTTCCAGCCACATGATTCATGCCATTGTCTGGCTATGTGTAGAACTGTTTTCCAGAGACGGCGATGCAATAAAAACGTGGCTACTTTTTAAATCGCTGCGAACGCTGGAGTATTTTAACTTTACAGTTCCTCATAACGCAGCAGATGGGAATGAAATGGTGTACACTGTGAATTAATTGAATTCTAATGCAAACGCCAAGAGTGTTTGGCCATCGTCAGAAGGATTTAATCCATGAAAACACCAATAAACGTTTGCTGTTTTACTAGTTTTGATATAAGCACTTTACGAGCAGAGTAAAGTATTTTATAGACCGTACGAGAGGACTGTATTTATAAAGTTCACAGGGGTGACTGGGATATGATCACATGGGTTTGCTATTAGTTATTCAGGAACATTCATATATGCACATATTCTGAAATGTAGGTGCATACAACTAATATTTAATAGTTCAGTGTGCCGTTTCACTCTTGACTAGCAGCATGAATCTATTTATTTGTTTTCATTCTCTCTTCAGGTCAAGCAAGCACTCCCGAAGGTTTGAAGTATACAGTGATCGAGCTGCCGTATCATGGCAACAGCATGAGCATGTTCATTGCGTTGCCGTCAGAAGAGGCCACGCCCCTGTCAGCCGTCTTGCTGCACGTCTCCACAGCGACCGTCCAAAGCTGGACTAAACTGCTGGTCCAGAGGAGGATGCGCCTGCTGATGCCAAAGTGAGATTCCTGTCCTTAACCTTATTCTTTAATATTCACTTGGCCTTTTTTCCCTCTAAAGAAGTCAGCATCTTTTGTATGATGCAGTGTTATTTTAGAATGAATATATAGAATTTATAAATTATTATATAGGATTTATTAATATTTAGTCAATATTAATATTGACTAATACTAATTGACTGATATTAATATGACCATATTTTTTATTGAATATTAAGTAAATTATGTCCAAATTGAAAGTCGTAATTATGTTGAATTGATGAGATGCTAAGTCATATTAAGATAAAAATTATGACATTTTTGTCATAAATATGACTTTTTATCTAATTTTCGATAAAATTGATTTTTATCTTATAATTACGAATTATTGAATCATTTTGACTTTTTGTCATAGTGATTTTTGTATCTCATAATTATGATTCCGTATTACTCAGTATGTCATAAATGTGACTTTTTGTCTTATAATTATGATTTAGTATGTCATAATTATATTTTATCTATCTCATAATTATGAATTATTATTTAATCATTTTGACTTTTTATGTCATAATGACTTTTGCATCTCATAATTATGACTCAGTATGTCATAAATGTTTTTTTTTAAATCTCATAATTATTACTTTTCTGACTTAGAATATATCATCATTTGGATTTTTTATTTCATAATGACTTTTGTATCTCATAGTTATTACTTAGTATCTCATAATTTCGACTTTTTTTTATATAATTATGAGATAATCTTATAATTTATAACTCATATATAATCTTATAATTTATAACTCATATAACTATGTTATATGTTGAATTGATGAGATGCTAAGTCATAATAAGATAAAAATTATCACTTTTTTGTCATAAATATGACTTTTTATCACATTTTCGATAAAATTGATTTTTATCTAATTATGAATTATTTAATCATTTTGACTTTTTGTCAGTGATTTTTGTATCTCATAATTATTACTCCGTATTACTCTGTATGTCATAAACTGTGTGTGTTTACTCAGTATGTGACTTTTTGACTTATAATTATGATTTAGCATGTCATAATTATATTTTTTCTATCTCATTTTTTTGAATGATTATTTAATCATTTTGACTTTTTATGTCATAATGGCTTTTGTATCTCATAATTATGACTCAGTATGTCATAAATGTGATTTTTCAAAATCTCATAATTATTACTTTTCTGACAGAATATATCATCATTTGGCTTTTTTATTTCATAATGACTTTTGTATCTCATAGTTATTACTTAGTATCTCTTAGTATACTTAGTATATTAGTATACTTAGTATAATTTTGACTTTTTTATTTAATTATGAGATAATCGTATAATTATGACTCTGTATGTCATAATTTTGACTTTTTGTCATAATTTTGAGATAATCTTATAATTATGACTCGGTATGTCATCATTTTGACTTGTTAATCTCATTAATATGACTTTTTATCTAATATTTATATTTTATAGTTACAAAAATGGGTTAAGATTTGTAATAGTTTAAGTTTCAGTTAACAAAGAGGTAACAATACCACACTAGTATGATCTCTACTGCGTCTCACATACTTTTGGGACTCATGGGTTCTGTCTGTCTCCTCTTCTTCGAGTAGATTCACAGCTGAGGAAGAGGTGGATTTGGAGGGTCCTCTCACAGCGATGGGAATCAAAGACATCTTCAGTCAGACCAAAGCTGATTTCAGTCACCTGAGTGAGTGACAGCTGTCAGTCATACGCAGCATTTTCTTCATGAATTCATTTTATGTGCTCATTTTTTTGTGTTTGACCGAGTGATATCATTGGCTGTTGACTGTGAACTTCAGCCGCATGAATCACGTCTCTCAGTGGAGTGTGAAAATGAGTCAGAGTGACTCTGTTAGTGCACTGCTCACCATCCAGAGACGCTCCCAGATGATCTCTGAAGAGATAATTCTCCTCAAAGCCTACGCTTTATTACCATAATTCATGCTGTTAAACCACAAACTTTAACCTGAATTGCAGCGAGCAGTGAATCACCGTGCCTTTTCACTTTCAACTATTAAGAAATGTCATAGTTCACCCAGAAATGAAATCTTATCATCATTTACTCAACCACATGTTGTTAGAAATTCAATGGAGACACAAAAGGAGAATTTTTTCAATACAAAAACAGTCTCCAAATAGGATCCAAAACTGGCATAAAAGCTCTTTCTGGAGCTTGACAGGCATGTTCACTATGAAATGTCATTGAATATTCTCCAGAAGAAAGTAATTTGGGTTTGGAATGACAGCAGGAGGAGGAAATGATGACAGAGCTATCACTGTGACAGGATTTAAAGCCCTTCACATTCTTAAACTTTGACTTTTGTTCTTTAGAAAAGCTGGATTCGTTTAGCAAAGGCAGAAATTCAGTGTTACAGAAGCCCATTTCAGCTACAAGATAAATGATAATTATGACATAAAAAGATGAAATTCTGCCATAATTATGAGATTGAAAAGTCAAAATTATGACATAAGTAAATTGACAAATTCAAATTGTTGTCATAATTGACTTTTTTCCTCATCATTTAGATTTTTTTCAATCATAATTTCAATGTTTTGACAAGTGACTTTTTATCTCATAATTATGACTTAAGCCCGGTTCAGACTACACGATTTTATGACATTATTTTGAACATTTATGATGTTTCCTTGAGGGACTGCTGTGACTACTTTCTTTTTTTGGGCTTTTCTGATGACAAAACACGCTGTTTGCTAGCCATTGTTTGTTTACGCTCGACTTTCTATTGAATAATTATGACTTAGTCTTGACTTTATCATAATTTATTTTGTTTATCTCATAATTTTTACTTATCTCATAATTATGACTTTTGTATCTCATAATTATAATTTAATTTGATGTAAGTTTGATTTTTTTATCTTGTAATTATGGTTTAGTATTTCATAATTTCGACTTTGTCATAATTATGACTTAGTATGTTATCATACTAGGTCATGAGATATATTTTGACTTTGTCATAAGTATCACTTTTTATCTCATAATTGACTTAATGTCACATAATTTTGACTTATGACTTGATATGCCATCATTTTGACTTATGTTATAATTATGACTTACAACTCATAACTATGACTAAGTATGTTGGCTTTGTATCTCATAATTATGACTTTTTATCTTATAATTATGACTTGGTATGACAACATTTTGATTTTGTCATAATTGCGACTTTTTATGTTATAATTATTATGTTTACCAAAACATGATTTTACTTTTATGTGGTGGAAATGGGCTTCCATACAATGTTGAGTGAATCAACCTTGAAAATATCAGAAACTGCCAAAAGAATGACCATCTGTGGGGAAAAACAAAAAAACGAGAGAAGCAAATATGAGAACATACCAGAGTACAGAGAGAAAGACACTATAAATGAAGATTCATGTCAGCTAGAGGAAGGAAGGAAGAGGTTTTGCAAGCAATGTAGGCCGTAGTGTTTGAGATGAAGCTAGCAGAAATACTATCTCAAACCTGACCTGCGGCTCTGGCAGTCTGAAGTGTTCTGTTGCCCCCGTGTGGCAGTCTGATGTAATGACATGCATTCAGTGTATGAATGAAGCTTCTGTGTGCAGCTCTGGCAGTCTGAAGTGTTCTGTTGCCCCCGTGTGGCAGTCTGATGTAATGACATGCGTTCAGTGTATGAATGAAGCTTCTGTGTGCTAAAGCTACATGCTGTAAGTAAAGACTTCTGTATTTGTGTGTGTGTAACAGGTTCAGAGTCTGTCTATGTGTCCAAAGCTCTTCAGAAAGCCAAGATAGAGGTCAATGAGGATGGAACCAAAGCCTCTGCCGCCACCAGTAAGTTACTGTGTCACACGATGTCCTCGGTTTTTAAGTTGTTAGTAACTCTCAATCACTGGACGTCCAGCAAGACCCTTCATCTGTGCTCATGATCCTAGTATGATATGAAATTCTAATTTTTAGCTGCAATCTTGCACGCCCGATCTTCTCCTCCGTGGGTGACTGTGGACAGACCGTTCCTGTTTCTCATCAGACACAATCCTACAGGTACACACACCTCCAGTGTATGGGCTTTTTATTGCTTTATGAAACTGTAATATTAAAATGTTCCTGGTATGAAAAATGCATCTCAAATCTGATCTCGTTCTCTTCTCAGGAACTATTTTGTTTGCTGGCCAGATCAACAAACCTTGAGCCAGAGATCAGAGGAGATTCGATCAGTGGTCGACACACACACACACACACACACACACACACAGAGACAGACAGACAGACACAGACAGACAGACAGACAGACAGACAGACACAGAGAGACAGACAGACAGACAGACAGACAGACAGACACAGACAGAGACAGACGAATATATTAAACTTTTGTCTTGGACTGCGTGTCCTTTTCCCACTCAATTTCTCAAGCGTCTTTTTACCCTCATTTTGACTTTGTCTTTGTTATTTTTATATTCTTGAGGAACATTTTATAAGATTTTATACATGGTTTATAATTTGTGTCTAATGCAAAACTTTCTCACAAAATGTGTGCAACTTAAATGCTGATATAACTTTTGTTTAACTTTTTTGTCCTTAATAAAATGTCAGTTTATTTGTCACATTAATGATATATTGTCCTGCATTGAGTCTTATTTGATTAAATAAGGTACTTAAACTGGTTCACCTTGTTTTTTTTTCTAACTAAAAAACATTTGTTGTTTATTTAATAAACAATATTCAAGGTAGTTGCTTTGGTAGTCTTATTTTTTATGCTTGATTAATATTATATTACATGATATATTAAATGTTTCTTTAAAAAAACACTGATATATACTATTAATAATACATACTACTTGCAAGGCAAGTTTACTTATATAGCACATTTCATTCACAATGCTAATTCAAAGTTAAACGTGATAAAAAGGTTCATGACAAATAAATTCATAACAAATAAAAATATATATTTGTACTATATAGGTATACACACACATTTATACTAATGTTAGGTTATTTATATGTCCAATTACATAGAATTATCTAAGAATAATAATAAAAATAATAATTGTTGATAAAATATGTGATAGACGTTGATACATATTATGAATACTAAAGATTATAAAAGGCAATTGCTATAAATCCAAAAATATATTTAAAATAATTTATATATAGGATGCAAAAGAGGTTCATATATATTTTTACTATAATATTTGTTTTATTTATATTTTATTGCATTTATACTATATTTATGTTATATTTATACTTAAATATATTCACATAATAAAAACAACATTCATGTAATGCACAATGTTGATAAAATATTAGACGTTGATATATTAATACGAATACTTATTAATAATTATTCTAAGCAAATTATATATTAAAATATCCATATACAATATTTTAGAATTTATTCTACACAATATTAAAATTATACAGCGTAGTTTGGTCGCAGAAGTAAACCGCGGCCGTTACGCAGTGTTTGTGTGTTTTTATCGTGCGCGTTGTCACGGAGCGTTACGGTAGCTCGCGCTGTTGTGGTTGAACTTCCCGAGCGCTCAGCTGACTCGAGAGGAGGAATCATCGCGCGCAAGGAATCAAGGGGAAAACAGCGATGGCGGCGGAGATCCATTCCAGGCCTCAGAGCTCCAGACCCGTCCTGCTGAACAAGATCGAGGGCCACAGCGACGGAGTGAACGCGGCCGTGCTGATCCCGAAGGAGGATGGAGTTATCACGGTCAGCGAGGACAGGTACACCCGCGCCGGACAACCGGTGGACACGCGACAACATCATCATGACCATTAACGCTCTCTGAACACTCAAATCAACACTTGCTTGCTTGCTTGCTTGATTAATTCAGCTGTTTATTTCTTAAGGAACGTGCATTATTACTCTCTCATTATTACTTTTTTACGATACATGGTATCACGATATACCATAGTACTAAAGGATTACCATGTTTACATAGGGTGCTTCCATAGTGCAAGTCCAAAACATCATGCTACTGTTTTTTTTTTTTAGTGAAGCACTTGAATGTGACAAACTACTGTTGTTTTGGTTTTAGATGTAAACATGAATTATTGTGAATTACCGTATTAATCATAATTTCCATTAGTCGTGTAGAAAGCACACGTACATCACGGAGACGTCTATTTGACATCTGCAAGAGGTATTTTTTAGAGTGCTTCCCAGATAGCACACATACTGTCTGTTAGAGATCTCTTGATCTGGAAAGCATCTGCTGTGTACAAACATCTGACAGACGTATTTAAGATGTCAGTTTTACATACATTCTAAATCATAAACATCTTAAAGACATCTAATAGACGTCTATTTGACATCTAAAAGGAAACGTCTTTGTTTCTTTCAGGACGATTCGAGTTTGGCTGAAGCGGGACAGTGGACAGTACTGGCCCAGCATCTACCACACTGTGTCCTGTGAGTATCATTTCACCCAAAAAAATGAAAATCGCAAACTTTTACGTCTCAGATATAGCGAGACTAGGTTTGACGTGAATGACACAGTGAACGTCATCAGTTGCAAGTAAATTAAGAAATTTAAAATAATTAATTCTCATTGTTCACGTGCAGTGGAATGTTCGCTATGGTCACTCTGTTACCATAGCAACCATATCACATCTTCATATCTCACATATATTCCCCCAGTATCATCAGTAAGTGTGCACATTTTTAATATGCAATTGCTCTTTTTGTTTGAGCAGCTTGTCATGTCAGATTCCAGCTGGAGCTGTGTTTGAGAGAAATAAATTGAGAAAATTAGGAGTGTTGGAGAAAAATTGTTCGGAAACTGTTATTTATTTAATATAACAGTATTTATTATTTTTTTATTTTTAATCAAATATTTATTTTTATTTTGTTATTTATTTTTCATCTAATATTTGTTATTTTTATGTTAGCTTTATTTAATTACAATTTATTATTTTATTTTAGCATTATTTCAATTAAAGAAAAATAATTTAGTTATTAGTTAAAAAGGCAACATTTTCATTTAAGTTTTTCATGTAATATTTATTTTATTTTAGCTTTATTTCAATTGATTTTTTGTTCATTTATTTTAGTTTTAGTTTTTTGTTAACAGTAACAACACTAGTCAGACACAGATGTTGTTTTCGGTGCCATTAGTAGCACAGATTGACACACTTCACCTGTAAGCAGCAGAAATCGGTGATGAAGTAGGTCAAGTTTTTCTGTTTGTGTCCAGCTCCGTGCTCCTGTATGTCATATCACCATGAGAGCAGGCGGATCTTCATAGGCCAGGACAACGGGGCTGTTGTGGTGAGTGTCACTGTATCACCCCCCTGAGGGCAAAGGTGTTTACAGATCTCTAATGTTTTGTCTCTATGGCTAAGTTCACACTGCAGGCAAATGTGGCCCAAATCCAATTTTTTTGCTCACACGTGACTCGGATCTGTTTTTGTCATGACCGTGTGAACAGCACAAACCGCATGGAATCTGATCTTTTCAATTCCGATTTGTGCCACTTCCATATGTGGTACTAAATCCGATCCATGTCAGATGTTTTGCAACGCGACCGCAGTGTGAACAGTCATGTCGGATTTCATGCGACTTTTACGTCACTTTAGATCGACATTCGTCATAATTCCGCACTGACGGGAGACACTTCAAAGATTTTTACATATATACAAACAAAACATGAGGGCTCGTATCATAAAAGTTTCAAAACTCTGCTGTCTTTTGTAATTTCCTTGTCTTTATTTTTCATATTGCCTGCACATAATTTCGCCGGATTCAGCAGCAGATCACACTATAAATAAACGCATAATCGCTTACTTTATATCCTCCGTGTTTACTTTCGTATGACAGCTCGCTGCGCAAGTGTTGCCAAATCCACAGTTTCCCCGCGGAATTAGGCTACTTTTCCACTGTTGCCGCGGGATGTCTTTCAACTTCATGGGTCGACGCGACCCCACTAACGCGATATTTATCCCCCTGAACATGGTTGTGCTAGTTTTGGACTAGTTTTGAGAAGCAGTTGGGCGGATTTTGTTGTAAAAACCTGGAAACCCTGTTCGTATTGTTCTTTTGCGCATGCGGGTCAGTTCAGAACCATGATCTGTTCACACTGTAAAACTGATATTGGCCACTTTTAAAACAACAATGTGAACAGCTACACAAAAAAATCGGATCTGAGAAAAAAAATCGGAATTGAGCACTAAGGCTCGCAAGTGTGAACGTAGCCTATGTCTCCTGTCTTTTCATACGCTTGTAAGTCAGGGCAGCTGTGCGTATATGTATAAATATGTATATGTAAATAGTACGTGTGTGTATCAAACTCGCCATCGTGTGATTCCCAACGTTTTTTCTGTGGAGCACAAAATGAGATGCTTAGCAGAATGTTCACACTGCTCTTTTTACATGCATGTTTTTATTATCAAAAAATACAGAAAAATCTAGAATATTGTGAAATATTTTTACGATTTAGAATTGGTGTTTTCTATGTGAATATGTTGTAAAATGTCATTTATTGCTTTGATGCAAAGCTGAATTTTCAGCATCATTACTCCAGTCTTCAGTGTCACATGATCTTCAGAAATCATTCTAATATGCTGACTTGCTGCTCAAGAAACATTTCTGAAACCATGATTCATTTTTTCAAGATTATTTGATGAATAGAAAGTTCTTTACTGTCACTTTTGATTAATTTAATGCATCCTTGCTGAATAAAAGTATTAATTTCTTTAAAAAAAAATCATACCAACCCTAAACTTTTGAACAGTAGTTTATATAGGCATTGCAGACAAAACGCACCATAAAAGTACTCAGCAGAAGACTTGAAATATAGTGCATAAATGGTGATTTTTTTTTTTGTCCTTTTTGGGTCTTGAGCACCAGATCAGTGTATAGAAAAGAGGACTCTGAACACTCTCATTTTGTGTTTCATGAAAAGATGAAAGTCATCTGAGTTTGTGGCCACATGAGGGTGAGTAAGTGGATCAACTAAGCCATTGTGTCATTTTTCTCTAATGTTCTTTGTTTCTGTCTTACACAGGAGTTCCTCATCTCAGAAGACTTCAACAAAATGAACCATGTCAAAACATACCCAGGTAAAACCAGAGGCTTGTGGGAAGTGAATTAGGAGTCATTTCCTTTAGTGTACTAACACCCTTTAGACGATGGGTAGGATTTCCCTTCCAGCAGAGCGCTGAAGTGTGTTTGTATGACACGTGTGCACTCTTGTCTCCTGGGTGTGTGTGTGTGTGTGTTTGTTTCCTTGAGCGAGAAACACACACACACACACTTGCTACTCTACTTACTTTGGGAGAGTCAGTGGGTGATCAGTACAGGTCATGATAAAAGCATCTGCTGGATGAGCACTCAGAGCGGCTCTATGCTGGGACGCCACAGCTTCGGCTCATGGGCTTCCTGTTTACAGTATCCTTCACTTCAGTCTCTCACTGAGAAGTATTTACAGGCATTTTTACATTTTATGTATATTATATTATATTGCTTTCTGTGAATCTCAGTGGTTTCTATCATGGTAGTGTGCAGTGCTGGATGTGACGTGTCAATCAATATTTTTTATATATGAAGAGTTTGGTTCCAAAACACTATAAATCCATTTTGATTAATTTGAGTAAAAATGTGTTTTCTTTACCAAGAAAGTGGCAAGAGGAAAACCACTATTTTCTCATAACTTTCACGTAGCATCTTTAGGTTATAATAACATTAAAAATTCATATCCAGATTTTGATTTTCAAAGATTTATTATAAAATTTTATTATTTTTTCCCAAAATGCAATAAATCCATTGAATCAATATAAAAGTTATGTTTTACATTGAAACTGTTGAAAATACACAACATAGTAAGTTGATCCACATGTGACAGCCTCTGAACTTGGTCAATACTAATCTTATATACAGGCGCTGGACTAAAAATGCATTAAATCAGTCATCGCTCCCAAAATGAATTCAACGGGTCATCTTGTTAATGCTATAAATTAATTACAACAATAAAAGAAAATTTCATCATGAACATACATGAACAACAATATCACATTAAACCACAGAAATTCCAAAATGATATTTCCCTTACATTCAACTTCCAAAAGTGCATTCATTTTTGCCATGTTACATTCATTAATTTGACTAGTGCTATACGCTGTATTAACAAAAACATTAATGGCATTAATAAAAACACTTATGCTGACAAGCTACGCAATACTGATTTTGTCGGAAACTCAATTTTTAAAAAAAATTACATTTATCGCGTTTTGGAACTCTTTATATATTATTAAAAAGTAACAATGTAAAGTAATTATGTTTTGTTTGGAGCAGTGCAATAGTGTAATACTCTAATATGGAAAATAACTTCCCCTAACTCTGGTAGTGTGTGTTTTGTAGAGTTGATGTATCTATGTTCACCAAGGCTGCATTTATTTGATCAAAAATACAGTAAAAACAGACATATTGTGAAATATTATTACTATTTAAAATATTTGTTTTCTATGTTAATATATTGTAAAATGTAATTTATTTCTGTGATCAAAGCTGAATTTTCAGCATCATTACTCCAGTCTTCAGTGTCACATGATCTTCAGAAATCATTCTAATATGCTGATTTGCTGCTCGAGAAACATTTCTGATTATTATCAGTGTTGAAAACAGTTGTGCTGCTTCATATTTTCGTGGAAACCGATGGATGTATGCATTTATTTTTTCTGGATTATTTGATGACTCGAAAGTTCAAAATAACATTTTATGTTTGTAACATCATAAATGCCTTTACTGTCATTTTTTGTCAATTTAATGTCTTTGCTGAATGGAAGTATTATTTCTTTCAAACTTTTGAAAGGTAGTGTAACTGCTCATGAATATCTAGTTCCTGAATGATCTAGCAATAATCTTGCTAAATTTGGTTGAACAGAGTCATTATGCGTTTAAATGGACTGGCAAATAATTTAGTGTTATAAACTGTCTTAAGGTTATTATTTCTTGACCACACATGTAGATATGATAGCGATACCCAGCATGCCTTTGTGGGAGATCATTCAGGGCAGATCACTCTGCTGAAACTGGACGAACAGACATGTTCTGTCATTACTACACTAAAGGGACATGAAGGTAAGACAGCTAAAAATACACACACGTTTACCCTGCTTATTTATATATATAAAAAGCCTAATTGAAAAGCTGAAATTGTTTTAGTATTCTGGCGTAATCTTTTTTTTTTATTATTTGTAAAATATTAAAAGTAATAAATAATTATAATAATGTTTTATGGTACTAAAGTTAAATCATGAATTTCTGTAAAGCTATATATATATATATATATATATATATATATACTTTAACACATTATTTAGTTAGT